ATATAAAATAGGTAAATTATCACATAAACTGACACGTGCTCATTTTAACAATAATGAAAATATTCATGTAAGTATTGTAAAGGTAAGGATTAATAAACTAAGTTATACTCTGGTTGAAAATAGTATGCGATAAACAGAAATTTCTTGAAAATGCTCAAACTGTGAATCAAGATCATTAAATTTGGAAGGACACACAACAAATTGAGGATGTGGCAACAAATGAATCTCATATATAAGGCCCTTGAATCTGAGTTCTTAGAAAAATGGAGGTTTTTTTTCCCAACCGTGGCAAAATTAAGCCCCAGTAAGTGCATGCACTTTTAATATAACTATTAGGAAATGGAAATCAGCATCTCCATTCATTCACATCAATACTATTTCTGTATAAGAAATGGATAGAATTGTCTATTTCGAGTAACATATCATTACTTCATGGTTGATTGCATCCAATGTAGGAGTGTAATTCCAAAGGAAACAAAGCTAGTATGTCAAAAATATATCCCCACACCCATGATTATTACAGCACTATTCAAAATATGGAATCAACCCAAGTGTTCATCCAATCCATGAACAGATTTTTAAAATGTGGAATTACATGAAGAATACCATAAAAAATGAAATCTCATCATTTTTAGCAACATGGAGAGTCTGGAGGATATTATGTAAAGTAAAATAAGTCAGGCACAGAAAGACAAATACTGCTTGTTCTCACTCATATATGGAATCTGAGGAAGTTACTCTCATAGAAGTTGAGTATAATAGTGATTTCCAGAGGAAAGGGAGAGGAAGTGTGTGTAGAGGGTAAGAGAGGTTTTTCCTGCTTACAGAGTTAGAGTTAGATAGGAGAATTCCATTCTACTTTAGTTAACAATAATATAGTATATATCTCAAAATAGCTAGACAGGAGGATCTTGGAGGTTCTTACCACATAGAAATGGTACATGTCTGAGGTGATGGACATGCTAATTATACTAATTTGATCACTGCACATTGTATACATGTGAAGAAACATCACACTGTAATGAAACATATGTACAATTATTGTGTCAATTAAATATTTTTAAAAATTAAAATAATTATACACAGTGAGTAGCATTTAGCCTTTCAAATCAAATTTAACCATAATAGCAGCTAACTGCATATACAGTGTATATTTCTATCAGAAAATAATATGACTTTTTTTCTGAAATGTAGTAATTGTTTCACACTGTTTTCAATGTACTGAGTGTTTAAGATGCCGGTTTTACCTAGATGTCTCTTTAGCTAGATTCACAGATCCAGAAGAGTTGTTTTCCCCAAGCTTGACTGGTGCAAATTCTTATGGAAGACACTTCTTTCCTCAAAGAAAGGTACATAGGAGAGATTCCTCAAATCTGTAATTCCCTATAGCACTCTTTTGCCAGAAATTTAAAATTCACCCTTTAAATATTTTTGAGGTTGTCAATGTAAGAACTTAGTCAAAGTGTGAATGTTTATTTCTGCTGTTTCTGTATCTTGGATAAACATAAAAATTATATTCTTTTCAATCCTATCTGCTTACTCCTAAGTAGATGAGATGACTTGGACAATCTCAAAGGCACAGTATCCCAACTTGTTTATTAAATTTGGAATACAGTACTATCAAAGAATACTTTACACTTGACAAAAAGAAAGGTGTGAAAAGAAGCTAAATAATGACAGTAAACACTGAATATATAATAAGGTTCTCCATACAGTCTGTGACTCCAACATAGTAACTTTTTCTTCCTGAACAAATTTGTGAATGAAGTGGTGTGTTATTCAGTGGGCATGAATATGCATTTTGTTTAACAGAATTTCAGTTAAATTATTGTCAAATCATTTCCTCTGCAGGAAACTGATTCTTGTTTTATGGAGGAATGACTTCCTTTTCTTCATCTAATAAGAAATTCAAGAGTGATGGATGCCACTTGGTTTTCTATCTGTCTTTAGAGAAAATACAATTGCGTGACCCCCTGTGGAGGACATGAACATTGCAATGCCTGCTTGCCCCATACTTGGGTCAGAGGGAAACTGCCTGGCTGGATTGCATGGAAGAAACGCCACCCCATTTCATCTACAACTTTACTTCTTGGGGCAGCCAACATTAGGTAGTTGTTTAAAATGGCCTGGATGTAGGCTGGTCACTGATTTTCTTTTGAGGTGGTCAGGCATGAAGTTTTCTTCCCAATGGAGTGAATAGCAGATGCAATTCCTGAGAACAGTCAAATCATTCCATTTCGAGGGGGAGGGAATTTTTACTGAAGACTATGGAGAGGAGTGACCCATCAGAAGTGGAAGAAAGTCGACTCACAGAGAGAAACAGTAACTCCAGGATATCCTGGGTGGAGAGCAGAGTGTCATTAGTTTCTGGCACTGCCTGGAATCCTTTAATGTCTATATGTATTTAGGGAACATTAATACACACATAATCTGCATCTCAATTACTTTCAGGGAGGAGGGCTTGATACAATCCCCAAATGAATTCCACTTTTTAATTTCCGTATTATCCAGTATGGCTCACCTCGATTGATTGACTTAAACCCAGGACTGTGATGTGTATTGTGTGATGTATAAGTGAGTTTTAAAAGTGACTTTGCAAGTAAGTTTACAAACTTACTAATAAAAGAAGACTTGAGAAATCAAGAAACAGCTTACTGGTGGGGGCAGCATAGTAGCAAGTCATTGAGAAAAGTCTTTGGAATTTGCAGAAGCAAAGGGAAAAATAATAACCCTGATGGGTTAAACATGTGTATATCTGATGACATCATTTGGTAGTGAGATGACAAGGAAATGGTAACTCATTAGAGGATAACATGGGGATACCTGGTAAAAGTGAAGTTGTGCCTCAGTGGGTGTTTGCTTGGGAAACCTTTGCAGATGTTATAAGGTCAGTTGTACAAAAATGTCTATGGCAGCACTGTTTGTCATCGTGACATATATTTTATTCATATTTTGAATGTGATGAATAAAAGCAAATGAAAAAATGGAAGCGTCCCACACGCTGTTCATTTCTGTGTTTCCACAAGCCTCATTACAAATCTCAGGGACTATTACTGACATCACCCCTTTCACAGATGAGAAAATGGAATGACAGATTATGTACTTTGCCCAAAGTGGGATGAGGGGTAGAGACAAGAACCACAGCCCAGAAGCTTGGCTCCAGAGTCCTTACCTCTACCTAATATTATTTCTGTAAATTTCTTTATTGAGATTGTATAGAGGTGTGGAGTGAGACAGAGCCGATGTTTAGTAGTCTTAGCATCTAGGGGAGAAGTGACTACCCTTGGCAAGGGCTTGGCAAGTGCTCAGTAATATTTGTTGAAGGATGAAGCGATATTTATGGTACTGGGGGCAAAGCAGCCAGAAACTGAGAACCAGCCATTGAGATGAGGCAGAACGGGAGTCAGTAAAAAAAAAAAAGTCTTTGCAGCTCCACCAAGTCCAAAGACAGAGAGGTTTGAAACTGAAGTGACTCTGTGTTGATCAAGGTTGTTTTGTATACACACTTGCTAGACTGGGGCACAATCACCTGAAGGTGGGAGTTGCAAAGAAGCTAATCTGGAGTAGTTAATGGCAGGAGGTTTGGAACTGGAGAGAGGGCCGAGTCTCCTCAAGATAATATCAGACTGAGCAGGGACTTGTACCTGAAGAAGTCAGAGCAGCAAAGGTGACAGTGCTTCTCAGGACAAGCCCATCATATGCATCATTGACTCTCTGACCATGAGTCTCAGATGGGAAAGTTTAGGCATATTTCCCTTCAAAATGTATTCACCTTGCTTGAGCGGAGGGGTTCGAGATCAGTCTGGGCAACTTGGTGAGACCTCGTTTCTTTTTTTTCTAAATTTTATTTTATTATGTTTTATTTTAAAGATGTGGGGTACAATTCAGGGTTACGTATACAAACATTGATCATGCAGGTTCCCTTGTTGATGAGGTATGCTCCTCCCTCCCCTAGCAGTTTCCCTCAACTGCCAATCCCACCCCTCCTCCCCTGACAGTTTCCCATTACTGACAAATAAATGCTCTCTTCTAGTATTATAATTGTTCAGGGTCCACTTATGAGTGAAAACATATGGAACTCTGTTCTTTGCTTCTGTGATAAATCACCGAGTATGATCGACTCCAAACCCATTCAGGTTGCTGCAGAGTCCATATATTTGTCCTTCTTTATGGCTGCATGATATTCCATTGTGTATATGTACCACATTTTCCTTATCCAGTCCAGCTTCGGTGGGCAGCATGGTTGGTTCCATGTTTTTGCTATTGTGAACAGAGATCCAACAAACATACGTGTACAGGTATCTTTTTTGTAGAATGATTTGAGTTCCTCCAGGTATATTCCCAATAGGGGAATTGCTGGGTCATAGGGAAGGTCAATGTCTAGTCCTTTCAGAAATTGCCACACTGTCTTCCAAAGAGGTTGCACTAGTTTGCATTCCCACCAGCAGTGTAGAAGTGTTCCTTTTTCTACAAAAAATGAAAAAAACTAGCTGGGCATGGTAGCGCACCCCTGTAGTTCCGCCTCCTTGAAAGGATCGCCAGAGCCCAGCAGGTCGACGCTGGGGTGGCTGTGAGCAAACCACTGCACTTCAGCCTGGGCGACAGAGTGAGACTCTGACTCAAAAAAAAAAAAATGTATTCACCCACGTTGAGAGAACTCTTCTGATAGCTAATCTAAACATGTTTCTGAAACTTCATCATATTCTTTTTATGACATTGCTAAAATAACAAGACTAACTCCCACTGCACTTCCATGTTTCCTTTAAGGATACTTCATTTTATCTCCTACTTGAAGACTGTTAATAAATCATGCTCCAGCTAAGAACAATTCAATGCTGAAGTGCTTTGTTTATCTGACCATCAAATTAATTATTTTTATGACACCAGCAGGAACTGTTAACGTCCTTTTCCCTCTTTCTTATGAAGCCACATGACCCCAAGTAGACACAGTTCTCTTAGATTGCTTAAGGCTGAGCGTCTTAAACGCGTAAGTCTCTCGAAAGTTATCCCTTGAGTATGCCAATCTAAACTCCAAGATTCCTCTGTCATTCGGGGGCCTTAAATCTCCTTGAGCTTGAGTGTTTTAAGATGCTATCAGAATTCTTACAAAAACTGAAAGTGAAATGAGGAAGGCAGATTGAGCAATCCAATGGAAGGGCAAATGCCACTAAGCTACTGCACAGTAGGGTTGGAGATGCAGAAAGGCAGAAAGAAGAAAATTCAGGGGAACTCTCCTGAGGGGTGAGCCAAGCTCTGCAAAGAAGTGAATGCAGGACATCAGCAAACACAGATAACAGGAAATGACCCATTCCCCATGGTCACTTATTCTAAAGGCCCCAACCTGCAAAGTTCAAGTGGTGAAGTGGGTGACTTCACAGAAAGGGAGCAGTCACGCCTTTCTTCTTGCATTAAGAAAAGAGAAGAAATGAAACTGAAGGAGTGTGTTTCCATCCTCCCGCAGGAGGAAAACCCCTCTGTCCGATCCTCCAAAGATGGGAAGCTGCTGGCCGCAAGCTTACTGTTGGCGCTGCTGTCCTGCAGCCTCACAGTGGTGTCTTTCTACCAGGTCGCCGTCCTGCAAGCAGACCTGGTGAGCCTCCGGGCAGAAATGCGGGGCCACCAAGCTGAGCAGCTGCCCACCCCTCCTGAAACAGGGACAGGAGTCCCCAGGGCCGCCTTGGGGGAAGCTCCAGCTGTCACCACAGGACTGAAAGTGAGTTTGCAGCAGCTGAGCGAGCCTCAGGCACAATCCTGCCCTCACTGCTGCCTCTCCCCCAGTTCAGCTGTCTTTCTAATAACTTGGGCTCTTTCTGTTCTAGGAGATCTTTGCAGCACCAGCTCCAGGAGAAAGCAACTCCAGTTGGAGCAGCAGAAATAAGCGAGCCGTTGAGAGTACAGAGGAGACAGGTATGTTTCCGGCACAGAAACTTCAAGGTGTCAGGGGGTGACAGTGTTCACAGGTATAGAGAATGACATCTGGTCTGGGGGAGCTTGAGGTTAGCATGACCTCTATGAACGTCTAAAATAGAGACTATGAAATTTGCCATCCAAACCAGACGTGGCTTTATAGCAAGCAAAGCACTGGCAAATACAATAGGCTGCACAGTGTGTTTTGTCCTCCAATGGGCACATTGTTCGAGTAGCAGTATTTATCTGTGTATCAATAAGTATTTATCTGTGCATTCAGCATAGAGGAGAAGACGAGGGCACAGGTTTTTTCCTTCTACGTGAAAAGCACCATCTATCACTCAAGAAAAAACCCACAAAACCCAGAAAGCACTACTTTTTACTGTAGATTTAGACTTTGTTTACCTGAGACATAGAATGTCAAAGACAGATGTTTTCTGAGGATGCGTTGCATGCCATGAGGCCAAGTAAAGATCACAATGAAAGTCTCTCTATGTTGTGCTTTACGTTTTTACAGTTTATTTTGCACGCACACATACACCACACAACCTGGTTTTAAAACTTTGCTTTAGTGCATGCTTTTCCATGAGTTTTATGCATTTTTAATCTACTTATAATAGTTCTGTAGACTCCTTTCTTTCTTGATATTCCCTTCTTCTATAGGATTTTTTGGAGTTGGTAGGGCCTAGCAAAAAGATCAGTGGGAGTTCTTTTATTTCAAAGATGGACAAAGATTATTTGTATGACATTTATTGACATAATTTAACAAATTTTTGGTATTATTTTCAGTTTATACTGAAAGAACGTTTCTTGAACACCTGAAAATATATCAGGCAGATATACACCAGAATAGGTATTTTCACATATATTCTTTCATCTAACTTTCACGGTGACTCTGTGAGGTGCAGAGAATACATCTAATTGTTTATAAAGATTTTTACTTCTGGAGAGAAGTGTGAACAACACAGTGAGAGACAGATCTTTCATTGGCATACACACATATGCATGCCTGCATGAAGTTCTTTGACTATAAACTTATTTTATCACTGTATGCCTTATTCATATAAAAGAATTATTTCTTATTTTGTAAAATTATAATTTTTGGCATCTGGTTATTATATCATTGTGCCAGTTATCAGAAACAATTGGGTTAAACATTTTGAAATTAGGAAACATTCTCATTTTTATTTTATACTTATTTTATTTTATACTTTAACACATCAATTAATTTTATAGTTTACATTTTATCATCTATATATTCTACATCATAGAAAATAAGGCAGCATATGTACTGTGAGTAATTCTCATTTATCTGTATTAGTTATCATATATTTATTTAACATGGCTATTTTCATTTTTTTAATAATAGAACATGCAAAACTTTAGTGCAGAACTCTGTTTCTGACGACTTATATATTCATTATAAAATCCGTATAGTGAAATTTTTGAGCTAAAGAGAATTAATATCTTTTTCACCCTTGCTATCTACTGCCAGATTGTTTTCAAAATGAGTTCCAAATGTGTGCAATCAAAAATGCAGTGTATCCATTCTGCACATTTTCACTAGCATTTTGTCTTTTACATTTATTTCGACTACTTTAGTAATTGTAAAATAATATCTCATATTTATTTTAATGGTTGCATGTTTACCAATAAGAATAAGCTACTTTCTGCATTTTGATTACTTCTAGTTTTATCTTCTGCTAGTTTTTATTTATAACTTTCCTCAGTTAGAAAAGTCCCCACTTTCTTATTTTTCTATAATTTTGAATAAATTTTCTAATTAGACACATTGATTGTTTATCAAAATTTTAATATTAGGATTTTCAGTGTTTTGCTGCTTTTTTTGCTTATACAGAGATTTTGCATCTGTGTATATTAATGTGATAATCTTTTCCTTTTGATTTTCTCTAATACAGTAAAGATAAAAATATATTTGTTCATGAGCTCTTATATAGTCTATTTCTTGCTACTTTAACTTTTCATAGTTTAGTGTTTTGTTTAGTTTTAATTCATTAACCCTTTCAGTGTTTATTTTGGTGAATCATCTCATACTGACTTTAACTTCCCGTTCTCTGTTTTTTCCTTCCAAACTGCTATGTCACTCAAATGTATTAAAGAAGTCTTGTTAACTCTTTGTGTTGGAAATCTTACCACATCGTATTAAGTTCCTCATATATAATTGCATCTACTTGAAGCTCTCTGTATTTTTAAATTAGTTTATTACTCTGTCTGCTTTAAAGAAACTATTTTAAGTAATTATGTACTATAATGAGCTTCAATACCTGGAAGGGTGAGGATCCTCAATTTTCTTTAACCTTCTCTGCTGCTAGTATTCCCCTGTTTATAAATAATAGCTTTAAAAGCAAACTTAAATTTACCATTCTAAAGAGGATATAAACTCATTTCAACAGATTTAAAAAGAAAAGAATAATAGAGCAAAAATTAGATAACTTCTTGAGTCATATTTTCCCCAAATATCATCTACTAGTATTTTTATTTACTCGTGTTTTAATAATATTCAAAAATCGTATACTGATGAATACCTTCTGTCAAATAATTTGCAAGTCATAGAAAGTTTAAGAACAACAGAACATTCTAACAAAATGAATTATTTCCCCAGATTTTCACAGCCCAGAGGTAATCATTATTATTATTTTCATGGTCTATCTTAGACCTTTTAATAAAACTTTCATATAGTGTGTGTATCTATATACATTCATACATACATGTAGATGTACATATATACTGCATAGAGTTGAGACTTGAACAACACAGGTTTGAGCAGCCAGGGTCCATGTTTAAGTGCAGATTTTCTTCCCTCTCTGCCACCTTGAGGCAGCAAGATTAACTCTTCATCTCCCTCTTCCTCCTCAGCCTACTCAGTGCAGACAACAAGAAAGACCTTTGTGATGGTTCACTTACACTTAATGGATAGTAAATGTATTTTCTCTTCCTTTTGGTTTTTTAAAATAACAACTTTTTTTCCTCTAGATTATTGTGTTGTGAGAATGTATTATATAATACACATCATGTGCAAGACATGTGTTAGTTGACTGTCAATACATCAGTAAGGCTTAACTACTATTAGTAGTTAAATTTTGGGGGAGTCCAAAGTTTTGTGTAAATTTTTGACTGTGCAGCAGTCAGCCTCTCTGTGGTTGTTCATGGGTCAATTGTATATATTTATATATAGTTCAATATATATGTATAGTACATTGTGTGTGTGTGTGTAGTACGTAGTACATATATTTACAACATTAATATATCCAAGATGGAAGATTTGCAGATAAGCATCTTAATGACATGTAATGTCTCCTATTCCTTGTCAATGAAACTATCTTGAATGCTGTTCCAGATACTACCCATTGGTAGACAGAAATTTTATTTTATTTAATACTATTCCAAAATTAATGCTTACATACTCAAGAAAGTTGTCTGAAACTCAGTGACTTTTTTGAGTAGAGTATGTTTTTGGAATTGAGAAAATCTTCTTTAGCTCAAATCTTTGCAGCTTTCTTTGATTTTTGTTCCTATTCTACTTTTTCTGATTTACTTTCAGGAGGACTAAAAACCGCAGCTTGCCCTTATAGCTTTCAAAGTGTTCATTTATGTTCTTATTAGTTAATTGTCTGTATATTTAAGAATCATGCATTTATTGGAACGTCATACAGACAGCAGATTGAAGGGATAGGCATTACCGTCAGTCCAGTGTCCACATGGTACTCCTTCCAGTCACCCATGGGTAAACACTGCTTTTACTTAATTTTACAACTGTGTCCCTTGGCTCCAGTTTTGTTTCTCTTAATTATTTTGGGATTCAAATTAAAGTCTTATCAAGCTCAATGTATTTCATAAGGCCATTCTGGATGATACTATCATAAACAGAAATGTGGGGAAATCCAGGGTCAAAAAATTGCCAAATAGCTCATATTAGCCAAACATTCACTTTTAAGTCCATAAGTGTATTTGACAATATTCTCAATTTAAAAAAATAGCTAAAGCAATATGGCTTGAAATATTACATAATAAAATTTCTTTACAAATGGAGTCATGAAGGTCTGTGATTTGAACATTCACCTAACTATAATTTTACTCATTTTTAAGAACAAGAGACAAGCATCTTTAGGGTCTATCAAACAAGTGAATTCTTCCCAAAGGGTTACTACTGACATAAGACAATTTTCAGATAATGCCAGGTTACCTTTGTATTTTCTCCCTTGATATTTAATAGGGAATTCAAGAGCTATTAGAAATACATTTGTTTAAATTATAGAAAGACAATTATTTTTGTGAACAATGTTTGTTATACTTGTTTTCAATTGTCATAGAAAAATGGTGGTGAAAATATAAACAATTCCAGGAAATATAAAATGAGTGGACAAAAAATTGCCCATACTTCATTAAGAGAGAAACCAACATTGAGATTAACTATTAGCTGAACTCCAGATTTTATTTGAATTTTACTAGTTTTTCTACCAAGTCCTGTTTATGTCTCAAGATCTATCCATAACATCACATTGCATTTAACATTTCTTGAAGCTAGAATTTTGAATATACCATACAAAATTAACACCTAATATTGCAACTTAAGCATTTCTCTAGGAAAAAACCCTTTTAACTGCTAAAGGTAAAGACACCAATACTATTTTTTGTCTTCTTTCTTGATATTCATTGTCCAACTTCTTGACATGGAAAGATGAGATTCCTGACAGGTTCTCAGTGTCCAATCTTTGCCTAATTGACATTTCTGGCTTAGCTGTGACTTACAAGGCTGTAATGTGATTGTTGAAAGCATGCAATGTAGAGCTCAACCATCCAACTCATATCAAAATTAGGCTAACTAGAGCCTCTTATCCAGCAAGGGTGTGTTTCTTCCTGGAACAGAACCAGTTGGCTGCTGCCATGGTGATCTTTGACCAGTCTTCCCTGAGTGTTATTTCTTCCCCCCTGCCTCAGTAGTGAGATTTTCTTCAGTGTTGCAAGAGTTGGCATCTGTT